TCCAGACCTCCATTCCTGTCTTAGCACAGCATCTGTAACAGAAATTAGAAACAAGAACAGCCTCAAGAGGGTAAGAGCTGTACAGTCAGAAATAAGACACATACCTGAGTCACATAGTTGAGGGAACAGAGTGGGTTTATGGACTAATTGACACACAGCGAATGCAAAGGGGAAAATTAGGGATAATTGTAAGAATTTTCAGTGAATGAACTGGAAAGACAGCGTTTCCATGACTAGATGAAGATGAGTTGGGAAAGAATTAGTTTTGGGTGTAAGTAAAGAAGTAAGTTTGACATTCCATACCTAGGTCCTATCCCCAAAAATTATCCATTCAATTGGGTCAGGATATGTCCTGGGCATTGGAATTTTTAAAACTCCCAAGGCAATTATAACATTCAGGTGGGACTCCCTGCCTGCAGGAGCTCCAATCTGGAAATTCACAGTGGCCGACTTAAGAGAGATGGAGTTTGGGAGATTCAGGGAGTTGAACCCCCTGGTCAGATGAGATGACTGGGGAGACAAGGGAACAGGAGAGAAGCTATAAGCCAATCTGGGAGGTGCCCTCCTGTAAGGGACAGGAGGGACCAGAGGCCAGCCAAGGTAGCAGAGGATGATCAGATCATCAGGTGGTAGAAAACAAAGACTGGACAAGAACTCCATGGTCCCTAAGTAGAGAAGAAAGTTCTCAATGGAAGAGGTATGTCAGGGAGGGTTTAGGCAAGTGTTTTCAATCTCCATTCAGGGGTTGCTATTCCAACAACTCTTCTCATTCCTGATATTGTCAAAATCCAGGCAAACTATTTGTTTAATATTCTTGCTTTGAAGTTTCTCTTCTGTATTAGTCAGCTTTTCCTTACTATAATAAAATACCAGGTGCAGACTATTTTATGAAGAAAAGAGTTTTATTTAATTTAGAGTTTTGGAAGCTGAAATCTAAACAGTATGCACAGGTTTGGTCAAGGGCCCCCTTTGGCTGTATCACTTCATGGCAGGGACAAATATATACTTCTGTGTCTTTGTGTTCTCTTCCTCACCTTATTAAGCCACCACAATTCAATCATGGGGACTCTATCATAATGACCTAACCTAATCTAACCACTTCCCAAAAGTCTTGTCTCCAAACACCACAGTCAGATTAAATTTCCATTCCAAAGGATGAAAACTTAATACTGGAAGACTTTGGAGATTAATCTCTTGCATGAATTTGGGGGAACAAATTATAGCTTCTTTACTCTTTTTTTTGTGTGTGCTTTATTCTGCCAGAGTGAGAAAGACATGACATGAAGGTTAAAACTTCAAGAATGATATGCCAAAAGCCCACAGAACTTCCTTATCTCCTTATCTCTAACCACAGACTGCCACTACTTCCTTACTGATAAGAGAGGAGATCTGAATTCCATGGTCACCAAGTTGATGCTGTGAGATTCAGAATGAAGAAACTCTAATTTACTATATATATGTATATATTTTGTGGCCTTCCAGCCTGGCACCCAAAGATTCCTATGGCAGACAGTTCTAGAAGGACATAAAACGTTGTTCCATGACAATTGAGGGGCAGCACATTGGCCTCTTCAAAGTATTAATTCAGTGAAATCCAAACTTGGAAGGCTGGGGGGTTCAGTTCTCAAATTCCAGAGGCGACAGTGATGTGGTGGTTCGGGAAGTGGAGAGCTGACTACTGTTAACTGTGTGAGCCCCAACAGAACCACCCTGACAGCCATCACTCGCAGTAGGAAGAACTGGCTGGTCCTGGGTCCTTGGAAACAGATGGGCGTGGTGGAAACACATCCCTGTCCAATGCAGAGCTCCAACCAGCAATAAGGGTAAGCTCCATGGTGGGGAGCCGGTGCCGTAAGCCCCCACCTGAGTGGAGGTTGGAGTAAGGCTCTCCAGGAGATCTTTCTAGAGAAGTGGATTTTCAAGATGAGATTTGAAGTGCAAGGCTGAGCCTGGCAAAGAGCAAGGAGACGTGTGTCTAGGAGACGAACTACGGGACACGTGAGGGCCAGGTTCCCTTCTCTCTTGGACAGCATGGCTCTCCCCACTCCTGCCCCCTGCTGAGGGCCCTTCCTCAAGTTCCTCTCCCTCCTCCCCAGTTCCATTTCCATGACCTTCCTTCTCAGCCAACCCACCCTCAGCCCTGCTCTGTGAGAACTCTCAATTCATTCGTTACCTTTGGAATTTTCCTCTTCGAGTCTTATGCTGAAGGAAACCGAAATTGAGGTAAACAGAGCTTCCCAGGCCTCTGGGGGGATGTCTTTGTTTGTAGACTCTCTTATATAAGTGTGCACGGGAATCGGGAAGCCCTGATCTCAGGTATATAAAATAAACCGACTGAACAAATGAATACGATGTGTTTGGAGTGTTTTCACATCTGCTTGCTGAAGCCCTCTTGACTTGGGGATATTTCTTTTCTGCCTCTGGCATGTTCTCCGCCCTGCTGTGGGAGGCGGCCATGCAGGCAGGAAGCCCTGTGGCTAGCCTTCCACAATGCCTCCCTCTGACGGCCAGCTTCAAGGCTTCCAATAATAGTAATAATGGCAAGAACTATTCTTGTTGTAGTCATCTCATTATCTATCATTCTGGGAGGAGCATCAAAATAGGATTGGGAAAACAAAGTGATATAAACAGGACCAGAACCAGGGACCATGTATCAGACCTACACTTGTACAGCCCAAAGACCGACATCTCCTTTAATTTTTAAAATTGTGATAAAATACACATAGCATAATATTCACCACTTTAACCACTTTGAAGTATACGGGTCAGTGGCTTTCCATCACCACCATCCATCCAGGACTTTTTTTTTCTTCCCAAGCTGAAACTCTGAACCGTTTTTACAACAGTCCCAATGCCTCGTGATCACCATTCCACCCTCTGTCTCTGTTGCTTCTTCATATAACTGGAATTATACAGCAGGTGACCTTTGTGATTGGCTTATTTCACTTAGCATAATGTCCTCAAGGTTCACCCATGTTGTAGCATAAGTTTGAGTTCTTTCTGTTTTAATGGGTGCATGGATGCCACATTTTAATTATCCATCCATCCACCAATGGATACATGAGATGGTTCCACCTTTTGGCTACCGTGAATAATGCTGCTAATGAATGCACATGTATTTCTTTGAATCCCTCCCTTGGGTATATACCCAGAGGTGAAATTACAAGATCATATGATTATTCTAGTTTAATTTTTTGAGGAATGGACATCTAGTATTCCTTAGCAGGTGCGCCATTTTATGTTCTCACCAACAATGCAGAAGGATCCAATTTCTCTCCATCCTCACTACTGATTTTGTGTGTGTTTTTTTTTAATACTGACTATCCTAATGCAGGTAAGTGAGGTGGCATCTTGTGGTTTTGATTTAGTGATCAAAATTTATTAGTGATGTTGGCCATCACTCCATCGGTTTGCTAGCCATTTGTATGTCTCCTCTGCAGAATTCTATCAAGTCCTTCATCTGTTTTCAACTGGGCTGTTTTAGTTTTTTTGTTGAGTTATATGACTTATTTATATATTCTGAACATTAGCCCCTTATTAGATATATGATTTGCAAACATTATTTCCCTTCCCACGGGTACCCTTTACATGCGTTGATGTGTCTTTTGATGCACAAAGATGAGTCCTGAGTTTTACACCCCAACTGCCTCCTTGGCTTCACTCTACTCCTGGACCTGAATGTTAGCCCTAGTCTCTTTCATGAGACATTTAACAAAGAATTTGAAATGACAGAGATCACACTTGAATTTCTGCAGTTTTAATTAACCTCAAAACTTCATTTTCCTCTCTTAACTCTTTTGATAACCCAGGACAGTCACACTTGAGTGCTGATTCTGAAGCAGAACCTGGCTTATCTCAATGGTTATAAGAGATCAGCCGACTCAAAGAAAAGTTGCTGAGAAGATTCTCATGGTGCCACCCCTCCCCTCTGTGGAGACAGAAGCTGGGAACTCTTGTCAATGATTACAGTGGGTCAGGCACTGTTCTAGGTAGCTTCCTTAGAACACACGTATGCAGTTAACATGTGTTACCTTCCTTCTTCTTACAAGAGCCTCATAAGGTGTGTGATGCTCAGGTCTCCCACTTTACACCAGAAAGGTTGAATAAACTACTGCAGGTAACATAGCTAATAGGTGGCAGAGTTGGGATTTGAATCACAGAAACCTGGTTCCAGATTCTGTACTCTTAACCAATTACAAACTGTGGCTGATGCGACGTCTTCCTCATATTTAATTTTTAAAGTTATTTTAGACTTTGGCATCTTCCAGTGAAGCATCTTGGTTTCCAGCAAACCACATTTTTAGGCTTTGCTTAGATATCACGGCTTCTCTCCTAGCATTTCTTTTCCTTCTCTTGGCTTTCGGAAATGACTTACAGTCAATCTCACAGGAGCAAGATCTGGGCCTTCCTGTAAATCCATCCATTCCTACTTAGCACTCTGTCCATAATTATATCCTTGAGCTAAAATTAGAGCCAACAATTAAACCCAGACATACTGCATCAGGGCAATAAAGCTCCATCTCTCCATCTCTGTTCCTCCTAGTCCTAAAGGATTTGGAGAGCTCATGGGAAGCTCTTTCTTACTCTTAGGTACTAAAACAAAAACAAAAAAATCCTTCACTTCTTTGGCTCGAGCCAGCAAATGACGCCATCTTGGCAGGTCCCTGGTCTCAGCAAACCTTCAGTCTCAGGGGAGGAATAATTTATTCACAGATTCACAAACTCTCCTTCACTAATGATTTGTTTCCCTTATTCTTTCACCAAGATTTGATTTTAATGGATTAGGAAGGAAAGGCCCCACTCACCCCATGAAATAAGATGTCTTTCTTGTTAAATCAAGTTAATTTACCAAGAGAAGACTCACACTTCTAGAGAGCTGTGGGAATCTGTGGACAGACACTCCTCGTACTTGCTTTTGTCTAGTTCTCCACTGACGGTGGGGAGAAAGTGGCTAGTCTGTCTGTCTTTTCCTAATGGTTGTCACTTGCTGCTTTCTACAGGGTCCTGTGGATCTACTCCGAGACTGGCCAGTGGGTGTACCCTGTGCTTGGAAAACTCAGCCCGCTGGGCCTCACGGTCTTCTTCTCCTCCAGCTACTTCCTGAGTGTCAGCATCTACCTGTTTGGAGAAAAGATCAACCGCTGGAAATGGGGTCAGTGTATTTCTCTCTTGTGTACAAAGATATTTCTTTCTTACCCTTTCCTCCACTCTTTCTGGAAATGGAAGGAAAAACTACTCCAACCCAGAAGGCAGTGGTGTTGGAGGATGTTTAGCCAAAGGACTGGGAGAAGTCCTACCAAAGTAGGCCAAGGCATGGCCTGGGACAAGCTGGCATTCCCAAAGGACTCCATCAAATCATCTCCCCTCCTCCCCAGACGACATCTTATTTAACTTGAAAGGTACATCTTATTTAGAAAGCTCAGGACTCAGAGAACAAGATAATATTGTTCTAGAAATGAAAAAAAAAAAATGGTAGCAGAGTCTCCTACTACCTAAGCCAGGAGGACAAAAGCTGTTACAAGGACAAGGACAAAGACAAGATTTCCTTTTTGAAGGAAATGAGCTCAGGTGACCCTCTTAGCTAGTCCAATCTCAGCAGTGCATTCCCAGATGAGTTTTTATCCCTCTTTTATTAGGTTTCTTCTCAAGCTTAAAAAAGCATTTACTAAATAGAATCACAGGCTCTACCTGACATTGGGATTCTCATTTAGACAGGGTCCTGGGTGGTGGGAATATGTGAGCAAGCCAAGTTTCTAATCCCAGGCAGGTAGAACCAGATAGGTTCTTCATAGAATAATCCTCAGTTAATTTTGGAAGGGAAGATTTTATTCTCTTTGTTTCCCCCCCTCTCTGCACCTCACCTCTAGAACATGCTTTTACTGGAAAAGTAACCACAGGTACTAGAAAGTCAGGTTGTAAAATATGACTTTTGTCTCCTACTCAAGGAGATGTCCAGGAACTGCCCTCCTTGTGTATTTTAAAGAAGGCAGAGAGTTAGCTGCAGTCCCCCATACCACTAGCTCAACGGCCATTCTCTTCCACCCAAATAGAGATGGCATCTTCTGCCTCTGCCTGAATAGGTGTGACCCCTAAGCTGGTGTGTGCAAAATGTCCCCAGTTTAGAAGGCTTGGCACCACAGTGTGTATTTCTGAGGACAGGCTGAGATCCTGGAGAAATAAGCAAGTAACTTGGACTTACGATGTGTTTTCTACTCTTGGAGTATTTGGTTGAGAAGATCTAAGGCAATGTCCTATATGAAAGCAAACACTTAAAAATAAAATACTAAAAATTATAATTCCCGAAGCAAGATTCCAAATTGTAGAAAATTATCTAGAAAAAAAAAAGATATCTTGACATTTCAAATGCATTGACAGCTAATTCTGACTATTTGTGGCTCTTTGGAGTTCTGAGTAAAGATGTTCTAATGCCCTCCACAAATCTATACTTAAAAAAGAAAGAAAGAAAAATTCCATTTGAAATTTGGCAGATGTAAGAAGTGCAGGGAAAAAAAATGGGAATACTTAGAGAACAACAACTTTTTCAATCAATTGTATTGAGTTCAATAATGATTAATTTTTAAATTATTACCCCACAATGAATTTTAAACATCCATTGAATTAAAAATAAAATTTCACTATTATTTATTATTCTTGAAATCACTACTTTCAACACAAAGCTCTTCTTTTTTTTTCTTAATTTTTTTTTTTAGTTGTAGATGGACACAATGTCTTTAATTTTTTATTTTTATGTGGTGCTGAGGATTGAACCCAGAGCCCCACACATGCGAGGCAGGCGCTCTACCACCAAGCTACGGCCCCAGCCCCACAAAGCTCTTCCTAGCATGCCCTATTGTTTAGGTGCTATATTCCAATTTTCCACTACAAATAAGCCAATATAGGGAGGGACCCTCACATGCTTGTGTAAATGCAGATGGTCACGTGAGTGATAGGACTGTAGTCTCTTCTCTTTTGATATGTTTATCTCCTTATGAAAATAGTGGATGGCTAGGCATGTAATCCCAGTGACTCTGGAGGCTGGAGCAGGAGGATCACAAGTTCAAGGCCAGCCATGGCAACTTAGTGAGACCCTGCTTTAAAATAAAAAGGGCTGGGAACTGAACTCAGTGGTAGAGAATCTCTGGGTTCAACCCCCTCCCCCATCCTGCAAAAAATTTAAAAATAAATAAATAAATTTAAAAAGAAGAGGAGAATGAGTGAAATGTGTTAAATACCAAAGAGATCTTTATTAATTGCAAATAATTAAATAACAGTTAAAAGAGAAACCGAACCCCTCAAAATTGCAATGGCAGCGAATGCTTTTAAATCGCTAAAAACCAAGTAGAGTGGTCTGTTGATCCATGTCGACCCAAAGATCAACCCCCTGTCCTCCTCTGCCCACCACACTTTAATCCCCCAATTTACAGAAGCAAGGCCAGCCCCTAGAACGTGCGACACACCAGGTTCTCCGGGACCCAGTCCCCGTCTCCTGTTTTCTCACTTTCTTCTTAATTTGGGCCCCGGCAGCATCAGTTTACTTATTTTACTTCCCTGTTGTTGCTTCTGCCCTCCGTGCGCTTCTTTCTCATACCCCCAGTCTTTTCCCAGGTCTCACCTCCTCATTCACTTCAGGTCACCTCTTCCGGGAAGCCTTCCCTGCTCTGCCCAGGCTGGACCTGACGTCCTTCCCAAATGCTCCATGGCTCCCCTGTACCTCCCAATGCCAGACTTACATTGTACTGCTACTGTTTTGTGTTCTTGTTTGTTTGTTTGTTAGTTTTAACCTCTGCCTTGGGGTTTTGTTTTTACATGGTCCTTGGGTTTCTGAAGGATGAGGAGCTTGTGTTGTCCATACCGTAAGCTTTCCCAGTCACGCATCAGAGCGGTGTGGGATATCCGAGGCCCTCCTCTCCAGGCCTGAAGTGGGGCGGGGCGTTTTGCAGAGGTGTTCCAGCGACAGCAGACAAGGAGTGACTCCACTAGTTGTAGGTGAGGGCTCTGGACCAGGAGGCTCAGGGGTATGGGAGGTGGTGATATGGGCTTCCGCTTGCAGAGCTGCTGAAGAAGAGATGCAGGTGAGGGCAGGCAACGCAGACCAAGGGAGACCCTGGAAAAGGGGATGGAGAGAGCCGGGGTGTGTCCCTCACCTGGCCTCAGACCCACCTAAGGGAACGCACTTCAACTCTTCCAAGGCAGGCGGACATCTCGGCAGGGTGGCCAAGAGGCCCGTTTGTCTGGGATGGTCCTAGTACCGCCGGCTGTGCCAGTGTCCTTACTGACATCTGGATTGTCTTAGGCCCAACGATCCGTCATCTGGTTCCCTTGACTGTGAGTCCCTCTCCACATCTCCTGTTCTGGATTTATGACAACAGAGAGGTGGTCACCTTGTCTGTCCAAATCCAAACTGAAATCCTCTGCTCTCATCCTTCTGCAGTCGGAGCTCTTTGGTGAGAGCAGCAAGTCACAGAAGACCCTCTGTGAGACAGTGGGGGGCAGCGGCTGGGAGATAAGCTCTGGGGTCGGGCTGCCTGGGTTCCACGTTAGCCCTGTCACCAAGAGTCTAGGCAAGGCACTCAAAGTGTTGGGTGCCAATTTTCTCCTTTCACAATTGAGATAACACTTACACCCTTCTTCTAAGATCCCGGAGGTCCTTAGATGACTGTCTGAGTATCAAAAGACTTGCCTACAAGCAAGAGTTGTCCCCGTTGCTGTTGGTCTCAATCTCCCCACCAAAATCACCATCTTTCTCCTCTGTGGGGTATTCCCACCTTTCCCCTCCACTTTATGCATAAATTACCAGTTCCCCAGCTGAAGGTGATTTAAAGTAACGATCACTAATTACCTGCAAATGGATAGAGATGGTGCATGGATTCAAGAACTTAGTGTGAAAGGGGTCATGCCGATTGAAGCTAGAATTCATTGGAATCTCTTTCTCTGAAATTCTGAGAGTGTGTGACCTGGCTAGGTGCCACCAACCTGCATCAAGTGGTCAAGGATACCAGGCAAACTATCAGCTGTGACCAGTTAAATGTGCCAGGTATCTCTGTGACAGTAGTTCTCGACCTTAGCCTCACATCATAGAAACACTAAAGCTGTCTTAAAAATATTAAGTCTCAAGTCCACTTCAGACCAATTACGTCCACATCTCCGGAGATATGGGGATTTAACAGGGGTGTTATTTAAAGCTTCTCAGTTATTTTAATTTGCAGTCAGGGTCAAGAGTCACTGTTATGAAGCAGTGTTTCTCAAACCAGTATGTGTCTCTGGATAGTGTTAAAACGAAGATCTTGGAAAATCTGGAGATCTTTACAGAATAGGTTCTCATTCAATAGACCTTGGATACAGATGGGATTCTGCCCTTTGAAAGCGTGTCCCAGAGAGACCATTGCTGGTCTGAGGATAAGTCTCTATAAAACTAGGACCCTGGAGGCCTCCCAAGGGAGATAATTATGTCAGGGCCACAGTTGCTAAACATCTGCTCAACTCCTCCCCACTCGTTTATAATGTCAGTGGGTAAGTGGGAAGAGAGCAAGAAGGACAGTTACAAGAAAATGATACCAAGAATTCAATGGAAACTTGGCAAGCGTATGAAGTCTTCCCAGGGCCCACAGTAGCAGAGTCTGGCCCTGAGAGCCAGGGATACAAATGCTATTTGCACTGGAGTCATTATTAAAATAACCCACCCACCAAGAAAGATTCCAGTTCTGCTTTTACAGCATGGAATTGATTTCAAACAATGACAGAAAACAATGGAACAGACAGAGGAAGCGGTCTTGGCAGGTCACTGTGAGATTGGCCTACACTGTCTGACCATCTAGATGGGCCCCAGGCAGATTCTCCTCCCACCTGACCCAGGCAAGGGTCACACCCCCTCTTCCTATATCCTTAGGGCCACTAGCCAGGGATCAAACTATCCTTTGTCAGGTCCCAAGACCATGGATGCTTTTTCTCCTAAGGACAATCATAAATTGATACACTGAAAATCAGTCTAGCCAAGTGACTTCATGATGGTACTGGAAAAGAATTATGTTAGGATTTTCCTAAAAACATAATAAAACAACAATAAAATAAAACAACAAAAACTTACCTTCAGAAGCTTTTGTATTTGTAGATTCATAGTTGTAAATCTTTGAGAACAAACACTGTTTTATTTAT